AGCTGTCTACCTATTCTGTTTGTCTGTCTGCTTGTCTGTCAGTCTATCTTCTGTCTGTCTGCCACTCTATTCAATCAGAAAGTTAGTAAGTAAATTGGGAGCGAGTCTGTGTGCCATTTTGCCTGCTAGTACCTCCGTCTGTCTGCCTCTCTGTCTGCCTGTCTGTCTGTCTGTCTGTCTGTTTGTCTTCCTGGCTCTATATCCATGGCTCTGGTGATAGAGCAGAGAGACAGGGCGCAAGCTGTGGTAAAGAGAAGAACACTAGGGCTGAAATTTTTGAAGGAGAAAAATAGATGGAAAAATGTTGTCCTGTTAATAATTTCCACACCGCTGTCTGGGATATGATAATGATATAAGCGATAGGAATAATCAGCGGATAGCAGCGGAGCAAGGGATAAATGTGAAGCTCCGGTGTTAGTCACCAGGATGAATCATGCACTCTTCTTCCACTGACAATTTGAATTCGATTAGGCTTGTACTGAAAATACGGCTTTAGTATTTAGACGGCGTACAAGGTATGGATGGAGAGTTGTGCTGGCCCCTTATGAGAGCCGAGGTTTGAGCTCCGTGTCGTCCCATTCGCTGGACAAGCAGCACTAACTGCCTATATACTATCTGTAGCTACAGAATACGAATCAGAAGCATCAAAAAGCGGCACTGCAATGGAACGCCACAGATTTCAATGGGGCATCTCTCGATAAGATAGGAGCAGTCTGTGAATAATATTCATAAAAGGCTGTTCTTGGTAGCAGAGAAATAAGAATTGAAAGTTGCACGTCGCGGCCGCTGACGCCACTTTCAGCGAATGGCCGTTTCTGTGTTAATCTGTGAGGTGAGTGCAGAATAACTATAAAATCAAAGAAGACTCTGGGCGCTGTTTGGCGACGAGGGGGGCATTTTGCACTTTAACGACTTCCCATCGACGTGTCGACCCATCTAGACAGCCTCTTCTCGAGTTGACAGGTTTTACCATGGCTTGACGAGCTTGCTCCAGCTTCACAAGAGTTCACAGGTTTCACCAGAGTGAGACTTGTAAACCAGAACTAGTGAAGCAACGAAAGTGCAAAATGCCCCCTCCCCCGTCGGCAAACTGCGCCAGAGCTTCGTATAAGCAAAAAAAGCAGAAGCATTTGCATGGACCCTATTCTGAAAGGTGCGCGGTGGCCCCGCCCGTGAATAGCTTCTAAAAGCGCTGACTTTTTCTGGGGAAGCTGAGTCTTTAATATTTTATAAGCGTTTTTAGAGGATTTCTGCAAAGTATTGCCTTGAAATGATTGGACTGACATTCATTCTGTCAGTCACCCTCGTGGAGCGCTGAATTCCGTAACTAGCGCTTGAATTAGCACGCACTCATTGATATCTGCCCGTCTACTAGGCAGTTAGATATTGATTAGCTGGAAATAGCCGTCAAAGGGTTTCTGTCATTATGTTAATTTTAAGAAAGAACGAAACAGGAAGAAGAAACCAGTCGAGGAAAAAATAAAGGAAACGGGTGCACAGCCCGGTCCAAAGGGGGCACTGATTGACACTCGGCTCACTTCTAGTAAGCAAATGTGAATTCCTGTGACCAAAGTGGCTTCCTTGCACCTCTTTCCAGCCACACAAGAGCTTACAGGTCTTACACAGCTTACTACTGGACTTATTGGTCTAAATGAACTAGAGAAAGGAAAGCGAAAGCGCAAAATGCCCCTCCTAAGTGAAATAGAGCCCGAAATAAGTGAAGTGATGCTGAAGCGAACAAGAATTGATAATAAAAAGTGAAACCATAGTGAAAGTTAGTGAAATCAGCAGTACAGTCCAGGTTCACTAGCACTTAACAGCATGCCCGTATCAGGCAGGCCGTGGAATGCAACTACCTGACAGGGAACTTGAAAAACCTTGAAGAATCGATTTCGTGTCATTACAATCGACCAAAGGCGATTGGAAATCGTGTGGAGTTGGCAGGAAACGCGAGAATGATGCTTGGCAAATAGTCTCGCCTTAGTCAGCTTAGTCCGATAGCGCTCAAAGGATCAAAGATTGTACAAAGGATTCGCTGACCCAGTTTTCCTGTGAATCAGTGAAGACCGCGTTGAAACTTCTATTTTTCAATTTTTCTTTCACTTTCCGAGATTATGAAACCCTATTTTATTTAATTATTATAGTTTCCTCTGAAACATTCTGACTAGTTCAAAACATTACACCCTCCGAATGGAGTTATAGAAGTTGAAGATTGCTCTAGCATAACAGAACTTCTTCCCCCTTCACAGTTTCAAACGCGGAGTCCTTCGAATACCCCATGGATGCCCGTCAAACGATGACTGTATTTTGGATGCCACTACTTTCGAAGGCAAAGCCTGTAAAGTTGTGAACAACGTTGTGAACCTGGAGTTTCTTCTAGAGGAATGGAATACGCTGTTCGTTCAAGTATTCAAAAGTTCCATTTTGGCCTGTCCTCACACCATCGGAGCATTTGATGGGATGGAATGATCGTCTTTATGACGAGGTAGGCTACGCCGCAGCGCAAGCGATGTGCTCATTCCGCGAATCCTGGCTGGGAAGTGCAGATGCTGAAGCTATCCTACCCCTCCTATCTAAAATGAACGCAGCCAGCGAATGAGTTTGTTTCCGTTACTTTGTTCCTCAGTATTTGTCTCATCTCTCTGGCGTAATCCGTCTTCAAAAAAGTTCAGAGACGACAACAAGCGCCTTGCTCGGGCCTCTTCAAAAAAGCTGTGAACAAAAGGAGCTTTTTGCTGTCCCTCGCCAGAGCGATCCTACGGGGAACTCCGACCGTACTGCCATAGCGACTTTGTTTGCATGAGGAATGTTATGATCAAAGAGCGACCGATGAAACAGCGGAAAGTGCGTCACAGTAAACTCTCGTTCGGGGTCGTTGGGACATTTTTCAAGATGATATCGATATTTACAAGTTTTCTATTGTCCCCGATCCAGTTGCTCATGCTCAGTGTGATAAATAGCTATATTTGAATAGCCTAAAATGAGATCATCTGTGACGACTGTTTGGGCAAGTCATGGCCTCCTGGCGAATGTTCGCCATCAGCTATCCAGTTACGAAATTCTTGGAACGCTCGATCGGCTCTAGAAGACGATTTGGGCCCTATTATAGCCCACTTCTGCTCAAGATGTACAGGTGAAAAAGAAAACAGGTTTGACAGAATGATCTTGTGAAGGAGCCATTTAGAATGACATTTTCACATTCCTGATTTCAGTGATGAACACAGTTGGTGCCATAAACCCACGGAACAGTTTGCGACATCTTTGCGGTTTTGTGATCGGGGAAAAAGAAATTATACGGAAAATTTTTGATTAAGTTGACCAATTGAAGGAAAAACCACGCATTTGTACCACTACGCTCATAGCTCCATATGAAGGCATAAAATCTGCGCGGTAAGAAACTAAGAGAGCTTGATTGTGATCTTCGATTGTTCCAATCCGAAATGCTTGAGCTGTTGTTCGGTCCACTGCCCGGCGCTCAGGGTGAGGGGGGCATGTACAGACATATTCGCTGCAGATGTTTTGCGTGACACCGAGGCTAGGTTTTTTGAAGCGTCAGCTCATTTCCCACCAGTTACCGTCGCTTGCTTCTTTAACTGCTTCCTTTAGAACTGGTAGACAACAAGCTGGCCTACGCCAAACCCAGCCGCTGTTACACGCCCTATCTACAGCACATTTTCTAATTACCACATGTTCGAAAATTTTGAATAATTTATTACATAATTACATTTCTACAGAAAACTATGTACACGCTCATCTATCAACAAGCAAGTGGGCGTGACCCTGAGTTGCGGTGCGCTCGCGACACGGCTTCCCTTCGATCTGATTGCCTTGAGTTACCTCTTCTCAACTTGATTCCCCGCTCATCAGATTTTTAATATTTGCTTGCAAACCCGTAATGACGAAAAACAATCCTAGCAGAGCATAGAAACAATCCAAACCAATGTGTATAGACAGCTTAAGAGTTGTGAAATTAGCCCGCCATTCCTCAATAAAAACGACAATCTCCAGAATTGCTGGCAGCACCAGAGCAAGTAGCATACCAGCCGTCACACCAACCAACGGAATAATCTGGTCCAGATTTGGTATCAGCCATGCCAAACCCACTGTAAAGAATACAATTTAACGTTGATAATGAATCAGCTCTGGAGCGAGCCATGTACTTGTGAGAAAAATTCAGAACCGCCCACTTACATGCAACAAACACTATTGAAAATCGGAATAGATACTCGAGAGCGATGATGTAGGCCCTTCTGGTGTTGCGGGCTCGTAGAGGCCGTTTCGCCATTGGCCAAAGCATTTCCACAATTGGATATTGTTGGATAAGAAAACTTGAGTAGACGACGCATAGCAACATGCATTTCACGGCGAAGTTCAGCCTGTAATGAGGGTTTCACGTGAATTCACGGGATTTCTCGCGATGAATTCGGAAATACTCAGAAGTAATAGAAAATCATGCTGCACGTATAGAAAAGCTGCAGTTAGTCAGCCCTTTGCCCAGTCACTCCCCTACCGTTTCCACCTGTCCTCTCAGAGGAGTAGCCGGCGACCTGGACTAAACTTGCCCCAGTGACGGTTCAGTTCAGCTTGGTGGGCTCATAGAATAGTACTTAGCAATGCTGGTCTAGGAACGTTATGAATACTTGTGATTTTCTGTGACCGAAGTAGCTCGCCTATACAGTTCCGCGAATTCACAATTCAGTTAGCAATTACATCAAAGTGTGACCTACTAACTGAAAAGGACTGCGTAAAAATGCCCTACCAAGCCAAACAGTGCCAGCATATATACCATTTTCACTTAAATCGGCACACTTTTCAACCAAATCGACATTTTCAAAACCAAACCGGAACACATTAACCAAAATCGGGACACTTTTCAAAATCAAATCGGAACACCTTTTCAAATCAAGTCGGACACTAACACCTAGGAAATCAAGGGCAGTTGACTAATCGAACCCAAGCACTAGGTACTCTGCTGCAAGCCCCGCCCCAACACCCCGCCCACTTTTCAGCGCGGTCACGGTTTTCCAAAATGTTTTATGAAATCTGCTTCTTCGACTTTTCTCACTTTTGTAGTTGCACACAATCAACTAGAAAGGATTGTACCGATACAGAATGTGACTCACAAGCAAGATGTAAGTTCTGAATTTTTATAACTTCTTTCGACGTCGGTTTTTTCACATTCAATCTTCACAAAACGAATATAGCCATGCTTTTACACACTAGCACACTAGGCCCCGCCCCTCACGCCCACTTTCGTTTTTCGCGGAATTTTGATTTTTCTTCCGAATTTTCACTTTTTTAGGCTGTGACAAGCGGCCCCGCCCACTAATGGAAGCTCCGCCCACTTTGTAGAAGCCCCGCCCACTTTTCAAAAATGATGCAGATCGGCGAGCTAGTGACCGTACTAGCAGGTTATGGCCTCTCCCGTCACATAGAATGAAAAAAGGGAAAGACCACAAAAAAGGGAAACTTTGTTCCGGGTGGAGCTGAGCTGCGAGCTTCTCAGGTGCCTCTGGTTCATATGCCAATCAACCAAACGTGGATCTACTTCTCCGGAAAGGGACCCCATTGTGACGGAGGGGGAGGGGATACAGGCCGATAGGCAAGAGAGGGACGGAACGCGGTCCGAGTTCAAGCGTCCTGCAGCTGCGCAAGCATTATACGTACTGAATGTCGTTGAATGTCCGGCACCAAGTAGGGACAGCCCCACCATTGCGCCTTCCTCTTTGGAGTATTCCACTTATCCCAGAGAGGTGTTGGCACACTTCAACCATGTATGCGTTATGCTAAGGTGACCCCCACCCCCCCCCTCCTCAGACGACCAGAGTGACTGTGCCTTTAGATGTTAGTGCTTGGAATGAATACTTATAGTGACTATTACGTAGCGCGAGCGCAAGCCAACGTTCTTATCTTCCAGAGCTTGAAGACTTCCTTTTTTGGCAATCAAAAAAATTATGTTACTTACTGTTAATTATGTTACTTATGTTATTGTTAACAAAAGCTCACGGTGTATCGGACAAGTTCAATGTGACACTGCCTTGAACCTGATCGCCATACGTGATATAGCCATAGAATCCACATGCTGCGTAGATCAAAGTCACCAAAGAAACTCCTGTCGATAGAACGCCATTGAAACCATCCATGTCCTTCGGGTGTTTCATTTTGTTCTCTAACGGGAGCACCTGAATAAGTACTCTGCAGTAAAGTTTGAAAAAGTTAGTTCATAAGAAACCTAACCCGAAATGAACTTCAGTGGCATTCTAGCGGTAAAAAATTTTAGCACGCGCGCACAGACAGTGGTTCAAATTCCAAATTAGCTTGCTTAGTCCAGACGCCAACTCAAGTCTTCTACTTACGAAGACGGTAGATCGGTGCCAGATTGGTCTGGGAGATAAAAACACGGATTTGTACATCGGCTGGCCCCGCAAGTCATTGTGTAGGCCACATAGCAATCAATAAGCCACTTCGGTTCTGAATGGAATTGGAGTACGCGCTACTACCTACCATTGCTTGCCCCTCCAACGAGTATAGAATTGAGCCAGCAGCCATCACTATTCCATTAACATTGGTGAACGCTGGCAGCTGCGAGGTAGGAATGTGCTGTGCAGTAGCCAATTCCTAAAAATGGTAATTCCATGAATTTCATCTCATTATTTTTACACCTGCGGCTACAAACATCATCAGCCACAAATGAAAGTTGAACAGCTTCCATGATTAGACAGAAGCTTCCAATCGTGAAAGGGCAGTCCGTGCTTTTTGGGTGGGCGGGCCACCAACATCTTTGTGCCCTCCTAATCCTTTTGTAAGGCACTGAAGAAGTGAAAGTGAGCTATTCAGGAAGACAGAACGGTGGCAACTCCACCCACATGGTCAGCGTGGACTGCGCTTCTGCGTATCTTGGCAACTTCCAGCAGAGGCTGAAATGTTACTTGTAGATGAGGAAAGAATAACTTACGTAGAGGATTATGGACAAGCTTGCTGTCATAAGGATGTTCCCGAAAAGCGAGACATAGGAGAGGATGAAAATGTTGCGCACCAGCGACAACACCAGAAATGCCGGCAGAACGAAAGCGAAGTAGTCGTCACGGGAGAGGCCATTGTCGGGCGAGATTTTGTCGACAATCCGAAAACAGAATCATTCAGTAATTGGAGAACTTGTGGAACATCTCCATAACAGCTACAGTTCTTTGTGAGCGGCAACAATTATTTATTTTGTCTTCCTCCCTGTTATGCTGCTCCTTTTGAGAAATCAAAGGGAAGGATGTACCAATGAGCTAAGCACAAATGGTTGACTATCTCCGCCCTTCTAATGAGAGTGGATTGTGCCCTGACAAAGCAGTGCGACACTGTTTTCATACGTTGAATAACCTTTCACCAACCTCTTTTGCATGATCAACTACGAATATGTAATAAACACTGCAGATTCCGACTTGTAAAAATATCAGACAGCAATTGACAAACCACCTGGAATTACGTCATTTTTCTTTGGGGACAGTATAGAGCTCGTTTCTTTTTTATGCACAACCCACAACAGCCTATGCGTGTGTAATCCCGCCTAAAACCAAGATACAGACTGCTCCACTTTCGTTGAAAAAAAAAATCGAAGAGCTCTCAAAGACTAGTACGTTAGACCCCTCCCCCCGCGTTTGATTCGAGATTGTACCCAAAATCCCAATTGTGGTGGGCGTGGCAACGCCTACATTTCGAACAGTAAAATATTCCAGTCGCCATATTTGGATACAGTAAAAACCGCTGTACTAAGGATACAATTTGATGGCAGTATAATAAAAAACGAGAACAGATGCCAGATGTAGAAAACTGAGCGCTATAAGAAAAAAAATGTTTTCCTGATTGTACAGGTCACCTCACCTACGATGAGAATCATTTATTTTCGTGGAATATGCCCCAAGTATGAGCGTGGGACATCGAAGTGGGTGAATTGGCGGTGTCATTACGCCTCCCCCCCTCCCCCCCTAATCCCCACCCCCCCATATCCGGATTTTCTTTAGCAGCACACCCCCTCGCAGCTCATCTATCATCGTGCCAAATTCTTCTAACTTTCCACCAATTCTCCAGGACTTTCGCCCGTATCTTCCTTGAGCTGTTGCGGATGAGGGCGAGGACATATACAGCGCGCGTGGGAGGTTCAAAGGCATCGAAAACCGAAAAAATACCCGCATAGCTCGAAAGGTTTCTACAGAGCTAGATAAGACCTCGCTCCCTTCCACAGCAGTCGACCAGTATACGCGCCTTCCCTGCCATCATTTCTTTTACAAACGATGCTCTACCCCTTATACAACATTGTCTTGTACACGAGTAGTTGAGGAAGGCCACCTGAGCATCATCCCTTGATCAGGGAGAATGCTCTCGGTTCAGCAGGACGGCGAGCGGCCATCAATTGGCCGGAGCTAGCTCTGCCACAGAAAGAAGCTACCGGGTTGCATCCTTCAACTATTTTTGCACCTACTGTCTTCCGCCACTAGCCGGACACCGCTATTACAATTGGAATAACATCGAAATTCTTACCTCGCAACATATCTGAAACGCACCAGCGGCTTGTAGCTACTCGCAAACGCTTCCTCAGCCATTTGACCGTAATCCAGTGGACCACATTTATTCCTGAATGTCAGCTTATTTTTGAGTCTTTAGGCAGGAATGGACTTGTGTTAGGTCTTATACACTTGCTTTCTATTCTGGAACGGTGTCAAATGGCGCCGCTACCGCAAGTGAACAAGACGAGATCGAAGCAACCCACGCCAACCGAGCTGCTTCTCTAAGGTAGATTTTTGAGCTGGTCCTCTGGGAAAGTGAAGGCAAGGGCTTATATCGGGCTGCAATGGGTGCCACGCGCGAACCCATTGCAGGGGGGGGGGTAAATGCGGTGCTCTGGATGAAGTTTTGGTGCTTGCCACATTTTGGTTTAATTTCATTTTGCTCTGGTTTATGCATCGTCTATTACACCTCTACTTAAAATCGTGGTGAGACCTGACTAGGGAAGGTCGTCAGGTCGAAGTGGCCGTTTGTAATGAGATGTAGCTCACTAGACGTGGTTTTGGACGCTGATCTCGAATCTGCCTTTGAAATTTGCAAAGCGATTCTCTGAAAGGAATTATGATGGCTTGTTAGAATTAAAATGAAGGAAAACGGAGTCGAGCGCGGTTGCCAGCCAGTTCGCATGAATAGCCGGGAAGAACCCTTACGTTCAACGGCGGCATGGTGTAGTGGTAATGGTCTTGCTTCGCGGGCATGCCTATGAAGGGTTCGAATTTCTGGAAGGGAACTTGTTTTGCATTTTGTGGGGAATGTCTCTTTTAGTCTAGAATACACTCAAATGCCAAATGGGTGGCATATTTGTTCAGACGAGCAAAACTACCCTCGAAGACAAGTTTTCTTAGCTCAGAGTTGAGGTTTTGACCCTAAACCATGAAAAGTGCGGAAGCACTTGATCGAATGATGGTCACCAATAGTTCCAGGGCCACTCTCTTGTCAATTGCTTGTCTTTGGACGGGATTTGCTTTTAGCTACCACGAAACTGAAGCAGTAACAAAATGAATGCGTAAGAAGTGGCAAGACGAGGGTTTGTGCAGGAGAATGTATCTGCAGCTGAATAGGTGTGAACATCAACTGAACTAACCCATGGATGCTTCACTTTTCGAAGTCAGGTCAAAATGGCAGATTTGGCTAGAAACCTCTACCTAGGCGTAGTTCGCCCCATAAATACGAATATGGCACTCGCTCAGCGCGAAAACGTCTGCACTGCGCGCCAAGGGCACCTGTACATCCTAAAATTCTCCTAGATCATGATGCACTAAGCGCGCCAGTAAGCGAACGCAAACTGTTTTTCAGGCAAGTCAAGGAGAGCGCTAATGTAGAAGCGACGCCACAACCACTTTTTGCCACGTTTGCGCTGGAAGCAAAAAAGTTAAGCTCAGCAGGGATCCGATCCCATGACCTGTTGCGTGGTAAACGCGGAGGGAAAAGCTCCATAACTCCGTTCAGAGAATCGCTTTGCAAATTTCAAAGGCAGATTCAAGATCTCATTACAAATGGCCACTGCGACCTGACGACCTTCCCTAGTGAGATTAATCTCGACCGTGTGCCTTTTAGCCACTACCCCATCTCTGTATATTAGAGCCATTATTTCCACCAAATAAACTGAGTAAACCTTACCTTTTGCACAGATACTGAGCGCTTTTCACGATTTTGACCATACATATTATTGAAACAATGCCGAGAAGAAAATCAATACCGAAGGAAGCCTGAAAATAGGTCAAGATTTGCAGGCTCGTCGCATGGGCGAACGAGTTCGTCATGGGCGGGGGGGGGTCTCCTTCAAGCACTGCATAAGGGAATTACCCAGGAATGATGACACTGCGACAGCTTAGGCTGCGTTTATATTAGGTTGTTCGAAAAGTCCTGCGACACTTTGATTGAATTGTTCTAGAAAAAGACCAAAAATCATTTTGGCTGGGGTTTCTGCACATGGGTATATCATGACTTTGAGGAAGTTTTCAAAGCTTAAAAA